GATGCTATTGAGACAATGTATGATATAATGTCTTGTTATAAGGATATTTAGTTCTCTTAATTGATTCAATTTTTTAATAATAAATTGGGAATTGATTTCCGTTATAAAGCGCATCTGTCGATGTTTTTATTTATATAGCAGTGAACTGATATATATCGCGTCCAGAGAACAATGGGACACAATCTCAGATAATTATTCACAATTAATTTATTATGCGCAAGCAATATCACAATTTTCAGTCAATTTATATACAAATATAATTGCATGTGTTTTATATACAGATGTTTTATTTCAAATTTCTCGGATCATTTTACACGCGCATTTTTGGTGTGTTCTTTCTTATCAATTATTGTTTTATCTAACGTCTTTTTGCTTAAATCAAATTTTTTTCAAAAAGAGGTGTACATCAGGTAGACATCATTTTGTTCCTGCGTGCGTGATCTTAAAATAACTTTGACTGAAAATAAGTACTTGCAAAGACAAACGAATCCGCACGCGAAAGGTGCATGCATAGTACATTATGATTTACGGATAAACGTGGCTCCTGCCTATATAAAAATATTCTCTTGCTTCATGAATAATATATTTTTACGGCGGAGAATTGGAGTAGGCAAAGTCGGCAAAACAAATGTCTAGAATGTATTTTTCTTAAACTTTTCTACGTAGCAGTTTCCTGCAGTCCGCAAGACAATTTTTCAACTTGACTAACTAAAATTCATTCCATGACAGATTCGAATACTGCTAATTAATCTATTCGTTCCATTAGTTGTGCATTTCTTTTGCGGACTTGTCGTATTAAAAATTATGCCCGGCGTACATGAAGAACGAGAAGCACGATAATTTTCTATTACTTTTTGCCCCGCGCATATTAATTAGACTGGAATATTTATTAATGGTAATTGTGTGTGCCACGTGGACCGATTCTTCGCGGGTACTCGCTTTGTTTCGCATTTTTAAAATATTCTAAAATATTCTAACAGAACAAGCGTCCGGATTTAACTCACTGATGAGTTTTGATAACGAATGCTCTTTGTATAAAATACAGTTTTTGCCCTTTGAATAATCTTAGTTAATTATGCATACCCCCGATGTTTTGTGAAAATTGTATAATTTGCGGAACTTTAATATATACACGGGCGTACATGAAGAACAAGACTTTAATTACAATATTCCCGGTTCTAGAAATCTCAAAGTTATAAGAATAAAGTCGTTTGACAATAAATATTACATGTTGCATATTATTTGAGTGTTGCACGATTCTGTTGTCTCTGTCGTAGAGCTGGACCTCGATTATTTGGAAAGAAGAGGCGGAAATACAATAACTTACGAGGGCGCCGAAGGAGGATCGAAAGAAGAGGACAGTCCTGCAGACACTTTAGATCGCGTTAAAGTAATCTTTCTGGGTGCACCCGGCGTGGGAAAGACGAGTATAATCCGAGTAAGATCCTTACAGTAATAAATATAATTGTATCTCTCAACTGGATGCCGTAAACTGCCCTTTACTCTCTCTCTCTTTCAATCAATTCTTCAAATGCTAATCCCTAAAGGACTTTTTCTCCTGCTGGATGGACTCTTATTAACATCTGTATTTTTACATTGCTAATAACGATTTTGTAATTACATTGTAGAAATTCGATATTTTTACTTTCGTCTGACATCTAAAGTTTTAAATATAAAAGAATAAATATGAAAAATTCTTCTATAATAAATTATATATCATAAAATAAGATTTTTTAAATATTTTTATTTCAGTTTATAACTTCTTAACTCTGATCTCTAGTTTCAATTAATTTGAAAAATTCGTATTTCTTTATTTTAATCTGTTTAGGACTATAAATATATTGATTAATTAATTAAAATATTATTATTAGAGAATGACAGTTTAAATTTGTAGAAATTTAAATAAATTATAATCAATATAAATTGTATGTTTTAACTTGAAATTGTGATTTGTAGGCATTTAACTTCATAAATAAAAATGCGATTATACATGCAGCTGTCGTGTGCGAGTAGGCAAGAATATTTTTCAGAATCTTTGTTTCAAAGCCGGGAGAGGCAAACAAATCACGGAAACAAGTCACTCGGACGGATTCCGTTCATTTCCGATAATAGTTTCCGCTTATCGATGACGACGATTATCGACTCTCCGAGGAAATTAAAAGGCATAACGAATATCCTAAGGAGGCCGGATCACTTTTGACATTTCTTTCCACAGTCTAAACGATTACCAGCGGGACTTTCGATCCTCTTTCGATCAATCATATCTCCATATCCATAATGATTTTTTACGAATTCACGAATTTTTTGTATGCTTTCAGCAATTTGTTTGGAGCGAATTCTCCGAGGAGTACAGACCGACCGAGAGACGGGAGACATTTTATCCGAGCGTGCTTCTGGCTGATCGATTGTACGAATTGAAGATCACCGATCTACCCACTATTCCATATTTTCCGGTCAGCTCACACCTGGAATGGACGGACTTTCGTTATTACGGGTTGCGAAGTGCGACAGCGTACGTGCTCGTGTTTGATCTTAGCAATCAGGACACGTTTCAGGTATGAACAACCAAGATTCAATGTTAAAATGCGACAAATTGCGAGCCAGACCACTCGCGAAATAGAATTTCAACTTCGGAAGAACGTCAGAAACATGGCGCTTATTCTTTTTGCAAAGTTTTTCTCGTCAACTTTTTCTCTTTCTCGTGGAAGCCGTCATCGACTTGAGGTTGCGTCAAAGTTGTCGGCATAAAAGTTTGATTATCTGGATGTTTGTCTGAGTGACGAAAGGTGGTCTTTTGAGGACAAAACATAATACAAGTTTGCTGAAATTAAATCAGTTTTGCTAGTAACAAGGCAAAAGTATAAATGAGAAACGCGCTATGACGTAGATAACATAGTGCAACAGATAATTAAAAATCGTAGAAAATGATCTTTCTGACTCATATTTAGCCTACACATATTTTAACTTTTAAAATCAAAATAGCGCATTTTTTACGTAACAAATTAGAATATATATATATATATATATATATATATATATATAAAATATACATATAATTTAAATATCGTTTGTACTAATTTTTTCACGATGCACGATGAGTTTTACGTGATTTTTTTTTTTCATTTTCGATCGATGTGATTCAGTATATCAGAACGTTACGTGAACAAATCTATGAGGCGCGCGACATGAGAGGCGTACCCCTGCTGGTGGTCGGGAACAAGCAGGACGAACTGTCGCAGACCGCCGCTTCCGGGACCAGATACAGGGACATCGTGAACCTCGTTCGGAAACACTGGAGATGCGGTTACGTCGAGTGCAGTGCCAGATTTAACTGTCGCGTGGTACAGGTGCGCGTTATACATTATTTATCAATCTCCGCCGTCAGCAATCTACATCTCATTCGTATTAAGATTAACTTAGCTCTCTCTCAGAATTTTAATATGCGCCTCAATTACCGTTTATATTTAGCAGTTAATACAAAAAAATTGCAATTCTCAGCTCAAAGTTCTCTCTAAAAATCCAAGAAATTTACTAAAATTTTCAGGTAAAATTCTCTCTGAAAATTGTGGAAGTTTATCGAAAAACCTGATGAAAATGGGCTTAAGAAAATTTTCGGAATAACATTTTAGAATTCTCTTCAATCTTTCTCTTTTCGAAATTTATTTGAAGTGCGTTCCATTTGTCAGTTAGGAAAATGACGATGATATATATCTACCGATGATCGGCAGGTGTTTCGGGAACTGATGAAGAGCATACAGGCGATAGAAGGTAGGCCAACCTCGCCGTCGCCCGCGGCCACGCAGCCGATGCGATCGCATCCACACGACACCGGCGAGAAGTGCATTCTTCTCTGACATTGAGACTTAAATCATCTCCCTGTTACGGGACAGTATCACGTGGATCGGACTGCGCGATCATGCGCGAGAACGCATTCTCCCATAAATGTACGGTAATACAGTCATCGATTATACAACGCGGAGCCAAGTAGTCGGCCCATTGTATGGTCCGCGGGCAATAAAATCAGAACGAATGTATAGATCTGCTCAAGCGAAGAGGCACGTCGCTCGAGTCACGAGAATCGAGAGCAATAGACGTCACATTTGAGAATGACTTTCCTAAGGCTGCATGCGCGCAATCACACGAGCGAGACGTGGACGTGGACGATTTCGAAATAAGCGACAATAATAATAATTGAGATTTCGTACGTCAACGGTAAATTCGCCGCGGCACGCGAATTAATTGCTGCTTCAATCGGAGATTTCGTAATTCAGGGAGGTTCTCACTCGCAGCTTCGAAATTTCGGTGGTTCAACCGGCGGGAAGAATCCGTCTTCTCTCGCGGTGTTACACTTTTGTATCCACATTAATCGCGCTTGCACAACGATATTTCTTCATATTAGACCATTATTGATTACGATTCTACGATAATCATAATTTTCGTCAAATTCGATTTTTTACGCAGTAAAATTACGTTCATTTATTGAAACTGAAATCAATTTCGATGAGTTCAGATCTCTAAATGAAGCGAGATCGTATATAGAAATTAATATTTGACACGTGTTAGAAGTGCTCAGAAGAGGAGGTGTTAAGTAGCGTAATAATTAGAAGGAAAATATGGTACTGAATAAGCCAAGAAGGTAGCGAGATGCAGCGCGGAATTCCTTTCAGCTCAACCCTTTCCTGCATTCGGCCTAATAACATTCACGCTGTAGGTAGGTACCTGGCGAGGACGAAGCAATAGTATATATACACATACACATATATATTTTACTATGCTGTTAAGAGAGTTAATCGGTTATTAATCTAACGTTAAACGGTCAGTCGATCGCGAGGATATAATCGTTAAATATATATATATATATATAGTATATATATATATATATATATATATATAGAAGCGAGAAAAGTTAGAAGCGAGAGTTCTCGATATTTTGTGTCTTTATATATATATATAAAGAGAATATATCTATATATATGTATATAAAGATACACTACTATAAAGAGACCAAATCGAGAATTCTCGCTTCTAACTTCTCTTCAGATTGAATGTCAAAATGCTTCCAAAGTATTTAACGTGAAAATTCTCCGTTTAATTATAAAAGATAAATTTAAGTATTGTAAAGGAGTCTATTGTTATTTTAATTCGTATATTTTTCGCGTAGCGTACTATCAGTTAATTTATATATTACGTATTACGTACGACTGAACAGGTTATTACGAAAGATGTTATATCTATCAAGAGGATTACGGTGTCAAAGAGTCCACCTGTTCGCTGCGTGGGATAAGAGAAAGAGTTGCGTCACGCAGTTTCCCGCTGTTGAAAAGAGCAGCTTTGGAACGGGAGAACGGCACGTATGGTTGGAATTAATTTATTAAAGTATGCGAGACTGCGCGAGGGACTAATTTGCAAAATTCGCGAATTTTGTCGTCAAAGCAACGCCGCTTGATCTACGCAAGATACAAAGCCACTCTTTGATTGCGATAAATGTAAAATCGTCTATCGTCTTAAGGTGAGCAAGACGAGAGGAGAACCCAGTACGAGCACAAATCTAAAGGAAGCCCTCTGCGAGAAAATTCCCGTGCATCATGATCTTCTAAGAAACTTTCGGGTTTATTTCGGCTCGAATATCGTTAGTCAAATTACTGTCGACAGTTTATACCAGGGATTAAGTGATGTAAAAACCATCGTCAAGGAAACATCAGAACTCGATTCTAAATATGGTGTAATAATCGCAAAAGATTTTAAAAATAAATAATAAAATATATAAAATGTTAATGAATTAAAAATTAATGATATTAAAAGATATTCGAAGATTTAAAGATAATATTTTAATTTTTTAAATGTGTATGTGTGTAAAAGATAATATAATACAAAAATTTGTCGATTTTTTACTTTTATAAAGCTGTAAAATACGTAAAAGCTATATCTAATGTTATAAATTATTTTAAAAAAAGCAGTAATTATTTGCAACTGATACAAATTACATAATCTTCTTTTTCTATGGAAAAAAATTTTTCTCTCAACATTAAAACTTCAGATTATGTACCGTGGATTGACTATACCGGAAGTGATCGCTCTATTGCCTCGCGAGGGAAATTCACCGAGTGCGGAAGCGGTGTTTTGGTTGCTCTTGACTGGTGACGTCCCAACGCAGCAGCAAACAGCTTCATTAATTGCCGATTGGACGTCGCGACGTAAAATGTACGGAATGGTGGTTGGGACCGCAAGGTGAAACGATAGCTTCGGTTCTGCGTTCGATGCCCGAAACAATCACACCCTTGCACAGATTGTCGGTCGCCCTCGCAATTTTTGACATCAGTAAACAGACGAACGAGGCCAAAAGGCATGGTGCTCTGCCATATACTTATTGGGAGGTACATAAGGATATTTTGATATTAGAAAAGTTTGCCCAGTAAAATTTACAAAGAAAATAAATAAAAACTTGTAAACTCGTAAATTCAAAATTATATGTAATAATAAAAGACATTTCTCTCAACAAAATAATGAAATATTAAGAGAAAATGAAAAACCGCAATTACATCTTATTAAAAAAAAGTAAAAATAAAATTGAAGATGTTATAAAATAAGCTTTAATTGTAAAGTTCTGCAATTGAGATTACCAATTAGCAGAAAGAGTAATTTTTTTTGTAAAGAACTTTTTTATTACAGAAAATATTAAAAGTTATATTTATGTAGGTTATATATAAAACAATATTTGTTGAATTTTCAGTATGTTTATGAAGATGGTATGGAATTTCTGGCGACTTTACCAGCGATCATTGGTCTGATAGCTAAAGGTCGAACATTGACAAATGTGAGTGGCGATGGCGATTGGGTGCAGTTTTTGTTGGATTGCTTGAATAATATGCATGAGAGCTGTGATAATCGAAGATCATCGAAGATTGCGGATTTTCTCAGGCTATACATCACTTTAAATGCGTAAAGAAACACAAATTCTCAGTTCTTTTAGTGTAAACATTTCCAGTTTTCATAAAAATAAATTTAAATATACAGTAAACATGAAAACATACAGCAAACATGAAAACAAATTAGCAAAGCTGTTTAATTATAAATAATATAACATGTCTAAAGTTAAAAAGTTATATGAATTTGTATAAATAATAGCAACATCTTTTAATATAATTAAAAATAAAAGATGAAGTGAAGGAAAATTGAACGATCTATCATAATAGTGATGATGATGGTGCAGCTCCGCCCGCTCACATTACGCAAATTTTGGGTTCAACTGATCTCCATATAAATGAGGTATTAGCAAGCACCGTTTTAGCGCATATCAATGAGCCTAAAAGTGGAACAATGTTGCAGGTAGAAGAACATTAAATCATAAAAATTTTTTTTATATATATAATTCCCTCATATTATAAATTTATTACTCTATATACTTTTTATATACGTGTAGTGGAAAGAATTACAAATGAAGATTAAAAGCATGCTGGGTCGAACATGGACGGAACAATCCTTGAAAGATTGCGTGCTGAAGCTATGGAGTAGAGATAAATTGACAGGGCACAGGGAGGCTGATTTTTGCGATCCACGATACATAGCTCTTTCACATTACTCCAAGCAATATTTGCCCAATAATTCAGAAATAAAGGTATAAAAATAAATTCGCACGTAGCAAAAAAGAAATTATTCTTATAAACGCACAATTCGATAAATGACAACTTTATAGCTCTCGGAAGATATCACGCGGATAATAAAATCGACACTGAGAAGACCAAACAGAAAAGACATTTATCCTGAGCAGAATGCTCTAACTCCTGTCATTTTTCAGGTAAATTTATACATTTTTTTATAGCAAAAATTAAAGATAAAAATTAAATTTTAAGATACAAGAAATTTTATTTGTATATCTTCTATATTTTAGTTATATTTAATTTATGTGCACAAATTAAAATAATTTAATTATTTTTATTATATAATACAAAATAAAGAATTAGATTATATTTAGATTATATTTTAGATATTATATTATTATATAGATAGATATTATATTTTAGATTTATATTTTAGATTATATTTAATACTTTTAACAATTTCTTTTTATTTAGTATTACGGATTGGAAGATATGAAGTTCAATCAAACGATATTCTATATGGCACGAGCCTTGGGAGCGATCGCTTCAATTATCTGGACGCAAATCGTAAATGCACCTGTCGAGCATCCGATATCGAAGTGCACTTATAGTTATATAGAATTAATTCGTGACGACAATATAAAAAAACGGAAATCTAAATTACGAAGGTAAATAAGAGCGGAACTTATTCCTAAAGTATATATTCAAAAGTTCTTTAAAAATCTTTGTAAATTTTAATGCTAATCTTTTGTAAAATGCTAATCTTTTGTAAAATTTTTAATGCTTAATGCTATCAACTATTATTGTTCGTCAGTTCTTTTTTTTATCGTACCTTTGTGATATAATCCATTTTAAAAATGTGATAATCTTTACCGCATCGTATTCAAAATAAATAACACTAGTTAAAACCTGACGTGACGAAAAATTTGACTTACGGCCATTGTTCTTAGCATCCAAAAATCTATAAGAAATACTTTTAGTTCAAAATAATGCAAAAATATTTTTTAATTCAAATATTTTTAAATTTTTCATAAAAAAATTTTTTTTTAAGTGAAAATTAATGTAATTTATAACTTCTTCTTCAAATAGAAAGAATATGCACGTTCCGCTTATCGAGAGATAGTTTTCATTACACGTATCGACATCTACATACAGACCTCGGTACTTCCTGATGCGATATGGTAGATAAGTTAGGTCTTCGTGTCTATGTATAAAAAAATATATGGAAAAATAGTACGAACGATATCTAATGGGATTAGTCTATCAAGATGAATAGCCCGTTCCGGGCTCGCTCGACTGCCGCCGTTGATTCGACAAGGAAGAATTTATCGAAAAGACGATATCAAAAAATGCATCCCGGGACATTCAAATGCGGACCGTTCGCGGTAATACGCGTGCTCGAGCAAGGCCCAATCGACTTCGTACAGATAATCAGGAGGAGGATGGTGTGACGCGACGTGTAAACCTCACGTCAAAATTATGATAGACGAAAAATCATCGATGTGAGCGATCGTTACGAAGAGAATAAAAAAAAAAACGTGGATTCGGTGTTGATCCGAGGTTGATCCGAGAAAAACTGTGAGACCGAAACGGAGAAATGAACACCTATCGGCAATCGTAGCAAGATCTGCGTGGTTACGATTTTTCGCGCAAGGTAGACCACATCTCGAAAACTGTCAAAACAAAGGATATCAACACGTAATAATAATAATTTCGATGACGCTTAATTATTCCTCGAATTTTTGATTTCTTTTCATATGGCTTTTTTTCGTTACGTCATTGTAGAAGAATAATATTTAATGTAAGAATAATATTTAAAACGTGGATAAATATGTAAATCTAGTTCGGGATATATCGCTCGGATTTGGATGAAATTTTGTATTTGTTCGACGAATTTCTGGAATCCAAACTCAAAAAGTGAAGATCGTTATTATAAAGATAATGCTTGAAGGTTAGAGAATCTGTTATACCGATGAAACGCAGCGATAGCATGCGTTAAAAGATAAGGCACGAAATATGAAATCGATGAATATGAAATCAATTACGAGTGAAGTTTAATAAATAAAATAAAACTTATAGAGCAATATCGAGAAAATTATTAAAAATAGACAGCCTTACAGAAGTTCATGTCTGTTGTTTACAATTTAGCCAATTAGTTTAAAATATTAATTTTATTCTGCTATTTTGTAGATATATATTATGTTTATACATACACATATATAGCTTTATATTTGATTTTACTTAAAATGATATTTTTATTATTTGTCCATGTTATTTATCCATATAAATGATAATTATAAAAAAATATAATTCCGTGATGATTATTTTTTTTTTCAGCTGCTTTAGGGCAATCAGATTCATTAGGCAAACTAAATTGACAAATAATTTTAAGAGCCAAGAATGAGAAAAACAAAGAAAAGATAAAAATTAGGAATAAAAATAAAGATTATTTATTAAATCATGGAAACAAATATTGAAATATTTCGATTACACTGAATCTTAAATAAATATGTAAATAAATGATATAAATATCATGAGTTATTAATATGAATATATAGCAATATTAATGGTGAATATTATTAATTATTTTAATATTTTTATATTAAGAATGTAACGAGTTATTCTCGTTACAGAAGGCAAATATTTAATACGTCATAAATATGATAATTATAACATAATCATAATAATGTTAATTTCTCGTTCGCTGTTTAAGAAAATTTGTGTAGCGAACTTCATTTTGCGTGAAGGTCAAAAACGCATATGGAATTGTATAATCAGTTCATTATATAGTTTTAAATAGGTTAACTTTTCATATTGGTAAAGTTTCACATGTTATCTCTTGTGCATAACATCATAAATTATTACTGATACGTTATAATTATATGTTTGACTTCATATTTCATTCGCCGTTTTTATTGCATTGCTCATTTTGTCGATATAATATATTTTTTAACCTTCTTAAGTACATTCAACGGTTGATTACAGGTTTTACAGCGTCGAACCATGATTTGTATTTTTTAGGGATTTTATTTTACGCAAAAAGATGCCAAACAAGTGCAGTTTCATTGAAATCTAATCAGAGCGCCTTGAACTAGACTTACAGAACTTGTATTAGACAAGTTATTTAGGAAACGACGTCACATTATGTAACATAGCATATTGCTCTGTTTACTTTGATATCAGAAGCATTTTATGTACATCGCATGTTGCGCATAATGATATAACAAGGAGATTTATCGTAAGTTATCGAAAATGTTTATATCGTAGATTAAAATAATGGCTGAGAACAGACCGATAGAAGAGGCAGCGAACGGAAATTGCGACTCAAGGATGTCACATGTATCGACCTCAAATGAAAATAGACAAGTTCAAGAATCAAGTAGTATTAGATATACATTGACAAGTATAAGCTCCGGAACGCCATTTAACTTTGGCATTAGGACAGCAGAACGCTCTAGAATATTTGGAAATAACATCTCTTCCACTATTCAAGGAATTCGTCCTCTCATACAACAAGCAGCGGTATGTAGTGTCAGAAATCCATTCATTGTCGATATAAGAAACAATACTTTGGACTAATCACATTTTGTCATAACAGCCTAATATATCATTGACATCACTCTTGGCCATTCATGGACTCCGAAATCAGGTACATCCAGTCGCCTTACCAAGTGATAGCTATGTGATCGATTTAGAAGAGCCTGTAACAAGCAGCACAGATTCTCATGATGAATCTGGACATAATCATCATCATTATCATGTAGCATCGACTATGCCAAATAATTTTTCAAACAATATGCATGAAGCTGCAAATGAGGTTGCTGAAAATCATAATAATAATAATAACAACGCCTCAGAAAATACCACCAATGGCAATGTACAGATAGGTCCAGAGGCTCGGGCGATGCTGAAACAACTTCAGCAATATGTTCCTTTTGTTACAATTCTTCTTACCAAAAGTCTTTACGATCACAGAGCAGGCGTACTCACGTTTATCATACTACTCGTCACGTTTATTCATGCTAATAATGACCTCAAACGCGAGATTGCCAAGCAACACAATCGGAGCTGGTCATTGCTCATGCTGATTCTATGCTACATCACTGCATGCATTATCTTTGTTGTTTATACATTTGACTTTTATACCCTCGCTCCTTACGCGGAACCGCTCACGATCTGGGAATTGCTTTGCTACGTCACAATTATGGACTTCTTCCTCAAACTCATCACCATCATCTGCAAAGTTCTCTTGACTTGCCTACCAGTGCGAATACTAGCATTCCAGAATCGAGTAAGTATTGCGAATCATTGGAAGCCGCATGATACAAATAACGTATAGTCGGATGAAATAATAAATGACAAAATTTTAGGGAAAATATTATCTTATGGTGGAAGCAATGTCGCAGCTCTATCGATGTGTCGCACCTGTTCAACCGTGGTTATATTACCTGCTTGAAACGTATCAGGGTCCGGAGAAAATTATAGGAATTTTGTTCTCGGTGATGTATACAATGAGCAAGGGTAGCGATCTACTGTCACGCCTTAAACTGTTTCGCACTGCTGCATGGAAACTGTTTCAAAACGTGGTATGCATATTTTTTCTCATGAATATTCTCAAATTTGTTATACAGCATCTATATAATAACTTTTTTTTATAGAGCTTAGGAGTATCTCCGTCGAAGGAACAGTTAATTGCATCCGGTGGTATATGTGCGATTTGCCATGAAGAATATATCACGCCCGTTAGACTTCATTGCAAGCACATCTTCTGTGAAACGTGCGTTTCGACGTGGCTTGACAGAGAGCGATCGTGCCCCTTGTGCCGTGCGTCCATTACGGACGATCCAATTTATCGAGATGGTCATACAACACATTTCGTTCAATTATATTGATTCTGACAATTATTATTTCTTGAGATAATTTTTATAGTTTTTTATTACTGAGTAAAAATGTAAGAGGTTCTGTTTTATATATATCTATATAGTGGCAAACGTGTAACTTTCCGTTATTTATTTTAATCTAATAATTCTTAAATTTTTACATTTTTTGCTTATCTTAGACCTTTAATGAGAAATTTAATTGATACTTAAACTAATAAATATAAGAAATAATACAAATGCAATTTTTTAGCAAAACCATCATTTGCAAGATTATTAATTAAATATAATAAAAGATTGTACACGTTTGGACATATGTAAAATATATTGTACATAAATATTCATATTTAGAAATCTTAAGCATTAAAAATAAAAATCGCGGTAATAAGGCCAAGAATTGGAAAAATCGATTTTTTTCAGAAGAATAAAAATTTTCTTTTTTTAATATTAGCTAAAGAAATATAATTCTAGATTATTAAAATTTTTCAATTTTTAAATGTTTCAATTTTTCTTTAATCAATTTTTCCAGATTTTTATTTTGTGTATATTTTATTATTATTAAATAAAATATATTTTATAATAGTAGCTAATATATTAAAACTATAATAAATTTAAATAACAAATATATATATTATTACTTAAAAATTGCAGCGTCAAAGTTTGTAATTCATGGTTTTTTATGAAATTGTTTAGAATTTTTCCAATATTTTTATATATATTTCTAAACTTTGTTCGTAAAAATCATGAATAATTAATGTATTTAAATTTCAATTCTAAATTATACTAAGTAAAATAAAAACAGCTGTTAGAAAAAAGCAATTTTTCTAGGAACAATATAAAGAGATATTATGTGCAAAAGATTTATCCAGATTGCAAAGAAAAGAAAAACATAAATAAAAACCGTTGCTTTCATTTCCATATAAATGATAGTTCATTTTCGACTGTTACTAATTGAGAAAATGGAAAAAAAACATTTGACATTTAGATTGACGATCCCGCATACAAATTTCATTAGATGAAAAAGATATAAATAAGATATAATTAAAGATATAAAAATTTAGAATCGAAAAAAAAATCTTCCATTAAGTTTATTATAAATAAATGTTAATTCGAGTTAAAGTATTTCTCTTTACATAACAAAAGTTTAAGAAGAATACGTTAACTGATATTGATGCTGCCAAAGAGAAGAATTTGAACGGATGGTAAAATGTGAATGAAAAATGAGAATATGTACTTTCTTAATTTAATATTTAATATACTTATAAGCATTTTTTACATGTATTTCTGTCTATATATAAATATAATTTCTTTTCATAAATATACAAAGTTAAAATAATTATTTCCTATTCTTATACTTGGTATGCATATGTATATAAACTTAAAAAAGAATAAAATTAACTTAAAAAAGAATAAGACCTAGCAATAATTTAACCAAGAAAATCGTAATTTGATACATCCTCAAACTGTTGATTTTGTGTATTACCAGGTGCCATTGGTCTCGTTGCTATCTGCCCTCTTGGACCTACTATTTGTTGTTGCACTCCAAACACTTGTCGAACACTATATTGAGGTTGTGGCTATAAAACATTAATTACATTTTATATCCTAAATTCTTCATTATTAACATACTTAAAACATTAGTATAAATAATTTTTCTACAAAATTCTAATAGCTCACTTGTTGTAACAAATGTCTAAGACCAAGGTTGTTGGTGGAAACCGGACGCATTAATCTTTGAGCGCCTGCCTGTTGGTTAGCCATAGCAGCTGCCGGATTGATACCTCTCTGTGCCTGTTGCGCCTATATGTATGTATGAAAATTAATTGTCTGTATGTATCATATATAAACGCAAAAAATTATATCTATTCAAATCGAGTTATTTACCTCAAGTTGTTGTTTATATTGCATTTCTTGCTGCTGTGCTACTTCGAGGTTTTGTTGAATCTAGAATACCACAATTGTAAGAATTTCTAAAACTTTTAAAAGTTACTCATATTAAATACAAAAATTTATGGTTTACATTTACTTCCAATTGAGATTTGTACTGCGCCTCTTGCTGTTGCGCAGCTTCTAACGTTTGTCTCAAATGTTGGATCTTTAGTAAATTTTGATGTCTAGCGATTTCTATATCATCAAACGGTGGACGTTGTTGACCGATCATACCTCCAGCGCCAGTGTTTGCTTGTGGACCGCTGATTCCGCTATTCTGTAAATATAATATAAATGAGTAAATCATTAAGGGTTAATCATTAAGTTATTTCATTTTATAGAACTGTAGATATTAGTACATTCGTATTACCTGCATATTCATTTGAGTCTGCGGGCCACTGGTCGAAGTTAAAGTTTGTGGAGGAGCATTGGTAGACACAACATTCTGCGTTATTTGACCACCACCCATCGCCATAGTATTCGTTTGAGACATAAGAATACCACCTTGTGCACCTGTAGTTGGCATTGGCGCGGGAATTGTATTACCTGGTCCAGGATTAGCCTAAAGAGAATTAGAATAGAATTATTTTATGATCTTTTCTATTTTTTTAATTCTTGTGTGTAAGTAAGAATTTATCGCTTACTTGTCCGTGTCTCATAGAAGCTTGAGATGTTTTCTGCTGCTGTATAACCTTGCGAAGACGATCTACAAAAGCTGTTTGATCGTTTGGAATAAAACCCAAATATGTTTTTTTGTCTGTAGTATATAAAAGTATAAGTACTTTTATTTCACAGACTGGACTTGAAGGCGCTGAAGTAAAATGGACGCATCCCGCCTGAAATAGAAGAAATTTTAAATTATATTTATATTACATTAATTTATATTTATATTTATATTACATTAAAAATATATTTTATTATTAAATATTATATTATTAATTTTAAATATATTTATTATACATATGATAAATACACTTACAAATCCAGCTGTCATCATTTTCGTTAAGGATTCCAGTGCTTCACATGGTGTCGGATGAAATACAACGGATTTCGAATTTTTTAGATAGGTACCACCAATACTTCCTATTAATTGTTTTGGCATCAGTTGCATTATCAGTTTCGATGGCCATGTGTCCGCTTTCCTGAAAACCAAATGTGTAAAATAGACATGTGAAAAAATTATGTCAACATAAAACTGAATAACAATAATTTACAATTCTGGTTCTCCATCTTTTGCATTTGCTGAGACTTGACATGGGACATGTCGCGTTTGTTTCTGCGCATCTGTCGGATTTTTGGCTTTTTCGATCCATTCTACAATACCTTGCCAGATATTCTGGCGCTCGCGTTGCACAAGTTGTTGATTTTGTACAGTGCCAGTCGACACATTACCCTGAAAAAGTAGAATAGGGCAAAGTTAGGAATTAATATACAGTAAGCGAATTTTTATAAGTTAATTTTTAAAATATATATATAAATATATATAAATACTTAAAAAAAGAATAATATAAAGTAAGAGAAAATATAAATTGTTTAGATTTTATTCTCTGTTGCAGCATACGTTAATAGAAAATAAATTTCTCAATCTTTTCTTTAATTCATTATACTCCAAGAAAAAGTCTAAATTTTAAAAGATAAAATATAAAATTTATTTATATTTTATATAAATGAAGTTTGATTACTTGCGCTTGAGGATGTGTAATCTGTTGTGTAATGGAAGATACAGATACTGGAGCTTGTTGTGATGCTGTAACAGTCTGTGGTACTTGAGTAGGCACAGACTGACTAATACAAGACACAGTAAGTTGTGATCCTGGTTGGTTATGGGTCGGTTGGGCAGCCATTGACATGGTAGCCTGTTGTGCATTCTGCTGTTGTTGTTGTTGCTGCTGCAGTTGCATCGTCAAGCGCAACTGTTGTTGTTGCTGTGTGAGTTGCTGCTGCTGTTGCTGATTAGCTGCCATAACATTATTGCCAGTTACTGAAATAGACATTATAGAGTTTATACTCAAACATATTGTTTTAAGCATATTGTAAATATAAAAGATAAGATAAAAATATCTCTTTACCATCTAATCGTTGATTAAACGCAGCTACGTTAAGTCCTAGCGACGAAGGTGGTTGAGTTAGTTGGGCTATTAATGCACTGCCTTGTGTATTTGCAGGCGCGGTTGCTCCCGGTATAAATGGTGGTCGTAACCACCTAGGCCTCGTGGCTATATTCACTGCCGTCGCATGATAATTTGGTGGTGCGGCTATCTGAGAATTATAAGGCGGCCGCCCGGTATTCATCGGTGCTGCCATAGACGGTGTGACGGTCTGATGTACGGAGGTAATATTCTGCGGAGCTTGGTTTCTGAAAGGAGGACCTTGCTGCTGATTCGGTGGAGCGATATTCTGCTGTACCTGATTAGGATTTGGACTGTCATTGCTTTGCAATGGACTCAAGGGTATTTGGGCTGCAGTAGCTGCAGCATTGTGAACATTACCGCCCATTTGAGGACTAACAGGGCGTTCCTTTAAGTTATAATTTCGCAAAAGCACCAAATGCCGTGGATCCTTGGCATAATTCTTGGTTTGTGAAGATTGCAAATCACCGCCGGCTTTTTCAAATAACTTATATAATGCCGGAATTTTCCTTGGTGATAATATAGAAATATTTATATTTCTCTGTAAGTTACATACATATGGTTAACATATATATGCATTTATATCTTATTACAGTTATAGTTAAAATTTATAAATTTATAAATTTTGTTACTCACTTCTTGATAAATGCCAGCTAATTGTTCAATGGTATGACCAGCATATTTGCAACTTTCTTGAATCATAGTTTGATATGGAGGCGAATTACATATTAAAATACAATGTTTTTGTAAAGCTGTGTTTGGCTCTCTTCTTAATTGTAAATCTTCAAAACACTGTAATCCTGTGGCAAGACCCTCACCTATGTTTGCAAAAGATTCTCCTTTTCCACCAACCATTCTAATAAATTAAGATTATTAAGACATTAATATTAAGAAAATCAATCAATAAAAAGGATATTCAATCTTTGAAAAAATCCACTTCCCATTTGTATCTTTCCCAAACTTTTGCAAAACTTCAAAACTTATTTGCAGAAAATAATTATATGCACTATACTCACTCAAGCTTATCTAGAGCCATCAATAGTTTATGAGGATTTGAATAAGGTCCAAAAGTCTCTGTACATGGAGATGGTAAGCAATCAGCAGCATGATAAACGACTATCCCATATAATATTGTGTTATTCTGTTACATAAATTTCAATTAAAGCAAAATAAATTATGACAATCAAAATTTCTATAGAATAATCTAGAATAAAATTTCTAGATAAAAATTTCTAGATAAAAGATATAATTATATACCTCAGAGACATATTCTCTGTCTTCTATGTTACCTTGACAGAAATATCTGTAATACAGAGAATTAATATTTTAAAACAAAATAAAAATTACAAAAGTAAAGAAATTTATTAGAGCACTTTCACATGTCAAAAACCTATAAATTTCCTTATTTTTGTAATTTTTATTTTGTTTCAAGATATATAATTGATTTCTTCGATATGGAAATAAAAAGAATATTTTCTGTTTGTAAGAGTAGAAAATTAATATAAGAATTACTTTTTATATAATGAAAAGCTAGTGTTTGCAGTATATAATAATATATTGTATTCAATTTAAAACTTACTCCAATGTTGGCATAACATAATTTGCTTTAAGATCATTAAGATATGCACCATTAACAGCTGTTCCTTCAATGACAAATATAACATCTGCTTGCATTCCATGTTCAGTTGGTCCTGTCACCATTATTCTAGAATACAACAAAATATTATATATAATATCTCATAGTTGTATATAATTGTAATACAGTATATAATTTACATATATATGTACATATAAAATTGTGAAATATTTTCTTCAAAAGTGTCTACCATTTATCTATTAAAATTAAAATTGAAAAATGATTTTTTAATCCAGTTTCCAAGATCAAGGATTTATATTTCAATAATGTAAAATTAATAATTTGATACTTCAAGCTAACCTAAACTCTTCAAATTTGCAAAATTCAGAATTATTATATTTAACAGAAATAATTCATTTTTTTTTATAAACTTACCTTAAAATTTATAAAATTTAAAAAATTCACTTGTCTGCTAGCGTTATTGTAAAAATATACACGTAACTCAAAAGAAAACAGTCTCAAATCCTCTTATAAAAATTGTGAAAAGGTAAAATCGTGCAGAAATTGCACAGCTCTTACAGAATCATACAAAATCATACGTCCAATGAGGAGCATAAATGAGCTTCTTTTTCGGTGTAGCTAGGAGTAGACGCGCCATCTGTGGGTTGTCGTCGCACTTACTCTCCGAGGACCAGTGTGATAGACCGAATGAACCTCAGATTTTGCATATACATTGCCTGCGCATAAAAGATTTTTTGATACAATTTGATGCAATTAACATTTGTTACATACAATACAATGTTCGTTAATTTTTCATTACGTTCTAGATGTTTAAAATATGTTCTGAAAATAAAATATAAAAAATTATAACACAAGATTTGTCGATTAGAATATATAAATTTATAAATTTAATTATCTTTTGGCAGGATTTCATCCACCTCGTCACACACACACACACACACACACACACACACACACACACACACACACACACACACACACTATTATAA